GTAATTGGTTGAATCCATGAATGTAGATCCCCAGATTCCAAGGGCTGGTGGCCCGGGAAGCTGTGAGAGCCTGTCACATCCAGAACTGGGGCTAAGGGCCAGTCAGGGAGAGGCCTTGAGGAAGAAACATCCAATAGCGGAAGGAGTTGGCCAAGTACAAGAATTGAGATGGGAGCAGGCTAGGGAGTGAGGGGCCATTGCCTGCCCTCTTACAAAGTCACTTACAAAGTTGTCAGTTGCCATGGCAACTCAAGAATGAAGTTCTGTTCTTCTCTCTCACCTCTGTGATGGGCCTTAGGCTGCAGACAGGATCCTCTCTTGTTCCTACCCTTCCGTGATAGTTTTGACATGAGAGGATGACTAGTGTAAGTGAGTGTCAGCTGGATGGTAGTTCCATAGTCCTGGCATTTAGAGAAGGTCACTGTTGGGTAGACATGGAGGATCACGGGGGACCTTGGAGGGATGGAGACTTGAATTAAGGGAAAAAAGAGGCTCAGGAGAGCAAAGAAAGGAACTAGACATTTCCAGGAAAGGGAGAAAAGAGCACAGGAAAGGGGCGGGGACTGAGAGTCACTGAGGATAGTGTGCTGTGCCTTAGACCTAGGCTGACCCTTCTGCTTGCCTGGTTCCTGAGTCATACAGCAGAAAGTGTCGAAAGGCCCTGGGAATACCCTTGACTGTCCTGCCTAGACTCGGGGACTTTCCAGTGGGAGGCCTTGTGGAGCACCGAGACATCGTCTGAGGGATTCAGTTCAGGGCAGGCAGTGCACAGCCTGTGGCAGTGGAAGGGTAGGGTAGCCCATTAGTAGGTGACTGAGTGCTTGTGCAAGGTCGTAGAAGCTGGAGAGAAGAGGGGCGGGGTAGGAGGGAGTCAGTGTCCCTCCTTCCCTATTGAGCAAACTGGCTGACAGGCCGAATCCCCTTTAACCCTAAACCTAATGGTTGGTTTTATAGCTCTCGAGTACCACTTCAAAACATGTAGGTCACGCAACCAACCCTTTCCAAAGGGTCACCTAAGACTGTTGGAAACCACAGATGTTTACATTATGATTCATAACAGTAGCAAAATTACAATTATGAAGTAGCAATAAAAATAATTTTGTGGTTGGGGTCACCACAGCATGAGGAACTGTATTAAAGGGTCGCTAATGTTGTCTTTTATTTTTTATTTTTTAAGTTTTTAGTTTTGTATGTGTATTTGGAAGGCAGAGTCTTCAGAGTCCATGAGTGTTGGGAACTGAGCTCAGGTCCTCTGCAAGAGCAGTGTGTACTCTTACCCATGGAGCATCTTCTCAGCTCCTGACAGTGGTTTCCATTTGTTGTTTTTGTGAGGCTTGAACCCAGAACCTCAAGCATGCCAGACAAACACTAACTGAGCCACAACTCTGGCCTCAGTTTTTGTTTTTCTCTTCTTTTCTTTTCCTTTCTTTTCTTTTTTATTTATTTATTTATTTATTTATTTATTTATTTACTTATTTATTTTCCCCGTATGTAAAAGCAAAGAGCCTCTATTTCAAGCTCCTGGGCTCGGTCCCTCTGTCTGTCTGACACAGTGGTGAGAGCAGACTGCCCTGAGCCCAGGCAGGGTGGGAATTTTATCATAGCAGAGGTTGGGGTGAGGGGATTTCCAGGGTTCAGGACCCTGCTTGGCTGACAATTGTCTAGGGGTATCTGTAAAACAAAAAATAGGTGTGTGCTAGACTCAGGGACATCTGGCCACCTCATCTAATTGTTGGAATGTTTGGGATGTCAGGTACTTCCTCACCTCTGGGTGGATCCCTGGGTGTATCAGTTTAAGGCTTTTCCTGCATCTGGGTGTTGCCTGCCAGAAATCCTGTCACAGAAGCTGTGTCTAGGCCCCTAAACCTGTCATGGCTGCTGTGTGGTCAGGCTATGTTGGGGCCCCTTCACATTCCCCTCTTCACAAGTACCAATGATAGGACTCAATTATGAGTCCTACCTGTCCTAAGAACCATTAGCTAACAGATTTTTCTAGGGCAGTGACATCTGTATCTATTGCCATTTTTAAGGCTCTGTAGTTCTGATCTTTTTTTTT